TTTCTTCGAGTTTCCATTATTTTTCTAAAGCGTTTGAGATTTCGTGCATTATTTAATGTTATTATTTTGTTTAGTTTTACAGCTTTGAGGACCAACCAAAACCCAACCAAGTTTTGTATCATAAAAAATTGTATTGATTTTGAAGTGAAAACTTCTTTAGCATCATTGTGATTTGAAAGTCTTTGAAACTAAAAAGCGACAGTAGAAAGAGACAGACATATGAATTCATAAGATTTAACGTGGGAGAAAATGAGATGGGAAGCATTATAGCTCAATGCACGCGAAATAAAAGGCGTAAACATCGCCGAAACGGCGTCGCTTACGCATTTTGGTCAACAAGGGACGAAGGTGTCACACCTATCGAATAAACAAGCAGTGAATAACGGCCAAAGCTCAACTTCGTAATAGGTAATATTGATATAAATCTTTTTTAATTAGTGAGTATTATGTAAGGTATATTCTGTGTCTAATATATGTATAATATATTAAAAAGATTGTTACATTTATTTACTATTAAATTAAATTTTATTATATTTTATGTCGAACTTGTAGTTTAAATTATAATATTAAATAAATAATTTGTCTTAAAGTATTGTACTAAATATTTTATTTCATTTGAAGGTTTCACTTCTGCCGCATGTGAGCTGAATGTATGTTTTTTCCCTAGTTTTATTCAGGAGAAATAATTTAAAAAATACTTCAGCACCAAGAACTTTAGGTCAGAAAAATTAATGTTTTCAGGTAAGTAAAGTTCTGATATATGAATTAAGTTATTAAGTAAGTTACAGGTTATTTTTGGCACGATTAGGCATGTTATGTTAGCACTATTAGAATGTAATAACGATTTTACTGTTAACTCACAACTTTCAATTAAGCGAATTGGAGACTTACCTTACCTTAGGTAACACATGTATTAGTTTTAGTACTTGTTTATTTTATTTTATTTTTCATGTTTTACTTGCCGAAGCAGGATTGGCTGGCAGCATCAAGCAGAGCACTTGCACGGTAAATAATATTATTTTTAGGATTTACCATTTTGAGCACCGCAGTATCTAGAAGGACTTCAGAAGAAGATATATACAAGGAAACCGGTAAAGAATTCAAGGCTGTTTCACTTGTATTATCTTGTTTATTATTTTCAAGTTTATATAATAATGTGTTAAGTTTATGTTTACAGAATCTACATGGGCCCAAGCTATATTCAGGAGCCTTGTGGCCTTTACGTAAACAATTCATGCAAAGATCAAGTTTTAAATTCTGAGTTGACCTTTCATCAGGGGTCAACTCTTTGAAGGCACTACAGTCAACAATTCTATGCTCTCAATTGCATAAATGACATGTTAAATTGTTACTATAATTTTTAGAAGAAATGAAAGTTTTTGATGTTTTATTTTGAAAATATTATTTATAATTTTCTTTTGTGTTTGAATCTTTATGTGACGAATTTGTATGGTCACTGCGCGTGATATTCACCGCTTCCAAAACTGAAACTGAAAGTCATCCAATGATATTCTTCCCATTTTCCCAGGGTAAAATTTTTGAGTTTTTTTATCAATCTAATCAAAAAGCTCCAAAGCTACGGTGTAATTTTTTTATGAAAATTTAATGGATTTCATAGCCACTGTCGCAACGCCCTCAAGTGAGGCGCGCAAACAGTGAAATGTGTTTATATTTGAAATGTCATCGTTTGAGTTTAAAGAGAATCAAAAGTATCGCGAAACTCTAGAAATTTAAGGTTATTTCCATCAAATTTAGGGAGATCAATTGTAGGCAGTTCAATGTTATTAAAAGAGCAAGAACTAGAATTGCTGTTATTAGGAGGAAGGAGTGGAACGTTGTTATTTTCTTGTTTTTTTATATAGTATACATAGTATAGGGTACATAGCATAGTATATTATATGGCATAGGGTGATAAACGAGCATACCGTCCACCTGATGGTAAGTGGTTGCTATGGCCCATAGACATCTAAATCTATCGTCGTTTACGAATCCAAATCCAGATGCGTTGTCACCCGTGACCACTAAGATGGAATATAATCGTTAACGTAACCTGGTTGCCAGTAATAAGGGTCTCCGGTTCACTACACTCACTACATGAAACACAGCAGCATTAAGCTACTATTTTATGCTAGTAGTCTGAGAGAGCGGGGTCCTTCCCCGTTTGAGCCGACCCAGTCGTGCTACAACTATACTACTAATATAATTGCAGCATGGATCTATCTCGTATAATGTTCAAACATGAAAAGCACGGTGCAGTTGAATGAGTATTTGAGCTGAGGATATCGTAGAATATAATCAGTTTTCAACGGCATCTCTTTCTGTTAAATGTTCATCGGACAAAATTTAATTTGAATGGTATCAATATCATATAACAAATTTTAGATTTTAGCCAAACGCAATGTTATTTCCTTAATTTGAACTTGAGAAATATTATCTTTAAACGTGGTTATACGAACTTTTATTGATCCACGTGCTCGTAATGACCTTGACCTCTCAAACGCCAAGCGTCCAAATTTGACCGCTTCGATATTCCATCAAATTTAAAGACGTCATATTTGACCCCATCCACCCACAGCACTTTAATCCATGAATACTTATGTTTAGAGACTACTTTTCTATGAAGGAGTTTGGCATTATATAATCAATATAAAATTTTCTATCCTTTAGTGGAATAAAATAACAGTTAGTCTGTGGATATTAATTTATATTCTACGTTCATTACGTACGCTATTTTCATTTGGATGTTGTTGTGTTGATTTTTGGATTTTTCTAGTATTTTATTAGTGTTTTACTATAGTCTTTTATTATAAAATTGTTATAAAAGTTTTTGTGTGGATATAATTTATATTTTCACGTAAATAATTTTGAGTATACAGAAATAATTGTGATTTTCACGCTGCCGACATCCGCTTGATATGTTTTTTTTTTCGTTATCAAAATACAATAAAATCTTTTTGTAATTAAGTAAAACCTGACTTTCTGTTTAAATCTAAGGATAGAGAATTTTGTATCAATTTTAAAGTGCCAAACTTCTTCATATAAAAGTAGTCTCTAAATATAAGACTTAATGGTTTTAACCCTCTACTGGAATCGCTAAAATAGGTAACGTAGTTGGTATCGGGGGTGAAAAATTACCCCTTTAATTAAATGATGAAAAAATATTACAAATAAATCAATAAATAAAATTTAAAATTGAAAATATGTGATTTTCAATTTTAAATTTTATTTATTAAACTACAACTTTGAGTCTAGAGATCAATCAGTATTCAAGCCCAAATTAATCTTAAATCACATTTTGTTTTCAAATTAACCTATATCCTTCTTTTTTGTAATTACTGTAGGTACATGTTACTTTAGGAACTCTTCTTTCTATTAAAAACATAAATATAACATTATTTTTTTCTTGTCTCGTTTTCTTATATAGTCTAGATATAAAAAATAGAAACTTCTTTTCAGATGTACTAAAAATAAAAAAATGACAACATAAAACAAAAGTTCCAAAAACTACCTCTAAATTTCTAACATTTGGTACATGTGACTTCTTTGGCAGTATGCTCTTTACAAATGAAAAGTAAGCACTTGCTACACTTTTTCGTACACTTTAGGTCTTTTTTGCGATCACATAAGTAGCACCTTCCTCTCTTACGGTTGCTAATTTGAGAGTCAAAAATAGGCATATTTAGTTCCGGTTCCACGTCTTCCTTTAGATGTTCTTTCAGAAATGTGGAAGATTCTTTATGTCTAATTTGCACAAATGGTGTTACTAACTTAATTTCAATATTCTTTATATACTTATTTCTTTTTAGACGCTTATCTTGGTTACTGCATTCCACAAAATGTAACCGTTTACCATCGAAATAATAAGGATAGCCTAAAACATAACGCATGGCCATCGTTGAGTTCTCCTGGCTACCGAATAATTTGCACATTTTTGATCAAGGGCATCTACGCCTCCTTTTGTAGTATTGTAAAAAAATATGATCTCCGGCTTGCCGCTTTCTGGATCATTAGATTGATCGTGGTGCATGGATAAAATCATAACAACACTCTTGTTTTTTTTACGGAACATACGATTCCAGTGTTTTATCGTTGGTAAATCGGAATAAAGTAGAGCCTTCAGGACGCGTTTTATGTGGCAAAAAATCAGGCGGCACCTCACGTTTATTTTTCCGTATAGTTCTAACATACGTCAAACCATTATCTTTCAATTTTTCAACCAGTTCAACCGATGAAAACCAGTTATCACCTGTAATATTTCTGTGAGTTTTCTTCACAGGATCAGCCAATTTCAAAACAGTTTGTGTAGGTACAGACATCCCATCTCTTCTGTTTGTTCCAGTCTTTCCGGTGTAAATAAACGAATTATATAAATAATGTGTTTTAGCGTCGCACAAACACAACACTTTTATGCCGTATCTAGCTGGCTTGGATTTCATATAAACTCGTAAAAGGCATCTACCTCTAAATGGGCATAACATTTCATCCACATTTAAGGCGAATAATTGAAGTTTTCAAGAAATTTGTGAATATTTATTTTTTTTTTTTTATACATCATCAAATCGTAATGCTGATAAAATAAATAAAAACCTCTTTAGAGACATAGTGACTCTAAATACATCGCGACCTGTGCCATCTGTAGCCCATAAAATATCAACATCCTCATGTCCGGACTTGAAAACACCGGCAAGTAGCAAAAGTCCAAAAAATGCCTTCATTTCTAATAAACTTACATGATCAGTATGCGCTCCTTGGCTGCTATACTTCTCAGTAAATTCAGTAATTTTTTCGTTTGTGTGCAAACACACAATTTCGATCAGATCATCAGGAATCAGCAATTGCCAGGATTCAGTTTCCGTCATATTCATTTTCTCACGCGCTTCTCCTGCGAGGCCCGGACGCTGTGTGATGATATTGTGTTGTCTTACCCGGGACGAGCTAGGTGGATTTTTAGACCACTTGTATCTATTTTTACCCCTATAAAAACCAGGAGTTTGTATAGTTTATTCTTCTTCCTCACTGCTTGAACTTGAAGAATCCAAATCTGTACCTAATGGACTTTCTTCAGAACAGCTGACTACCTCCGCTTCCTCACAATCACTAATGTCTTCATCGTCACAGAATGTTGTTGTGATGTTTTGGACGGTTTCTGAATCAGATTCTTTATCTTCGTCTTCCAAAAGTTGCGCAATTTGATTTAAATTTAAAAAACCAGACATCGTGATGATTATTGCCTAAAAAAGATATAAAAATGTTTCAAAATGCCTTTACAAAAAAATGAACACTTTTGGTGTCGGGGGTGATTTTTGACCCCAGCAGTGTACGTACCTCCGCTTTCAGCAATATTAGAGCGACGAACGTCCGTCACCCGCCGCACCTCGCGTTGTACTGAGATTATATAGACGCGCAAAAGTTGCGTGGTTAGAATAGGAAGATATGATGGAATATGTGTTCGCTTGGGGTGATTTGTGACCCTCGATACCAGTTAAGGGTTAATTGCTGTGGGTGGGAGCAGTCGCATGCGACCGTTCGGGATTTTCCAGACGCATGCGACAGCATGGGATTTTTATGGGGATTGAAGGGTTAATTCATTTATTTATATTTTAAGTATATCACTATCAATTTTAGGTGTTTCTTCCGTGGAAGATATTATAATGAAGCAAATTGAGAGTGGTGGAGCCACGTGTTTAAGGCTGCCGAAAATCTAGTTCCCCGGTCAAACCTCAAACCTATTACGCGAGATATTAACTAAAGTGGACTGTATTTGCGATTGCTTCTACGCTTACGTAAAGCGACTACTATAGCATGCGGTACAATGCACTCGCTCTTCCCTAAACTAAAACTATTACTTACCAAATCGATGAAAGGAATCCTGCCTGATGAGAAATATTAATCAGGCAGTAAATTAAGGAATATTGACTCACCGGGGTTTCTTCTATCCTGTCGATCACTATAGCGACTTCTGGAACACTCCGGAGAGAGGCGGTGCGCGACGATATCTCACACGAGGTGAGGCGGGTTCCTGGAGCTCGACTGCTTCCAGGACAAAGCGGTTTCCACTAATGAGGTGTTTCCAAACGAGCGCGCGGGAAGAGGAAGGCGAGCGCGTCGGTCGCGCGTGTCTTATATATCCTCGGCTCCGATGATTACGCGATGTTCTAGAATCGTCTTCTTTCCCCTCCCACCCCATCACCCCGATGTATCGATAGGAGGGTACGAATGATATCGTTTTGGAAAGGAATAATGATTCAGCAAGTTCATATCGTCATAAATAAAAAAACGTGAATGGTTTTCCGCGCAACCATCTCCCCCGCCCTTGAAGGATTTCCTTCAAAAAAATAACTAAACAACTAGAGCTAAGATCAACTAACAAATAACTAACTAACGCTAAGATTACCTAAATTCAACTACAATTTTAATCTAGAAATCTAATTTAAATTATGGAAGAGGCAAGGGGCACAAACGGACAACAGGACGTAGGTAAGACCCAACCGTGGTCTTAACGCGAGCTATCCTAATTACTCCGTCGGAACCGGGAAAGACCTCCTCGACGATTCCTAACGGCCAGTGGAGAGGCGGCGTATTCTCCTTAGTGAGCACAACTACAGTTCCTACCGCTAAAGGCTCTGTCGCTGTGTTCCATTTTTGCCGAGACTGCAAAGTATGCAAGTATTCCATCCTCCATCGTTTCCAAAACGATTGCACTAACCGATCTAATAATTTGTGGCGTGCGGAAATGCTAAGTCTGTTCTCATCCATATCCGCGGCGGGCAGATACCTTAGAGGCGTTAAATTCAAAAAATGTGCTGGAGTTAGAGCCAGCGGTTCCGAGGGGTCACTAGATAACGTCCGACAAAGTGGGCGGCTATTCATTACGCATTCAATTTGAGCGAGCACCGTACTTAGCTCTTCGAAGGACAAAATTTGATCTCCTATTACTCGGTATAAGTGGCTCTTTAGACTTTTAATATTAGTCTCCCAATTGCCCCCAAAATGACTCGCGGCTGGGACGTTCAGAGACCACTCAATGCGGTTCTCGGCTAGAATGTGAGTGATTATAACTCCCTCTTTATGTATCGCTGATGGCTTTCATCTACGTTTTTTTTTGTTAACACCAATTGAAATTGTGAAATGATAAAACTGCATACATACGAACTTTCGGTTTATTTCCTTCAACTTGAATGTTAACAATGAGCAATTTAAGTACACATTACTTTCTTTAGCACAGGTTTATATTAATTACAACACAAATTTTTATGTTAGATGTGATCAATACTCAGACGCTAAGATGACACAAAGACAATGCATATTACAAATCGCGTGAACAAAAATATAAAATAAAGTGACGGTAGGTCGTAAACATACAGCCCACCAAGGACAAATTTTCAAAAATTTTCCTTAAGACAACTAACCGATCAAAACATGAATACTAACGAAAATCTTTACGAGAATTTAACATCAAACACAAAAAAAAATACAAAATAAAATATTACCACATTGCATGCTTTCTTACTAATACGTGCTAAAACGAACATATGAGGCTCGAGAGCCAACAAAAAAATCAACATTAGTTGGTAATTGGCAAAAAACACAATTTAGAAACAGGTCGTTTAATTACATTGTTTTTACATTTTAGACTGACAACTCGCGTAATTCCGTCCAATCCGGGATGTTTTTCAACTATAATACCATATAACCATCTTCCAGGTGGAAGATCATCCTCCACTACTAACACTAAATCTCCATTTGTAGGTTCAGGAACAATATTATTCCATTTATAACGATGGTAAAACTGAGTCAAATATTCATTTGACCAACGACGCCAAAAATCTTGTGTCATTTTTTGAGTCATTTGCCACCGTCTGAGATTTGTGATATTAGATGTTTCGTAATTGACATCAGGGGGTAAAACCAGAGGTTCTCCCACCAAAAAGTGCCCTGGTGTCAGTGGGATTGGATTGTCTGGATTCTCAGTAATTTTAGAAATAGGCCGAGAATTCAGACAAGATTCTATTTGACAAAGTAATGTTATCATTTCTTCAAATGTCAAAGTTGAATTGCCAACAATGCGCCTTAAATGATGTTTCGTCGATTTTACCCCTGCCTCCCATAGTCCTCCAAAATTTGGGGAATGGGGAGGGATAAAATGCCATTCAGTCCCATTTGTAGCCAGTTGATCTGCAATTTCCTTCCCTATACTGGACCTCTCATGAGCATATAAAGATTTGAGTTCTCGTGCTGCACCCACAAAATTTGTCCCATTGTCGCTCCATACTTCAGCGCAATGACCACGGCGTACTATAAAACGCTTAAACGCTGCTAGAAATCCCTGAGCTGTAAGGTCACTTACTGCTTCGAGATGGATAGCACGTGTGGCCATACAAATGAATAAACAAATATATCCTTTGAATGACCGATTACCTCTGCCTTTAGAGGTTCTTATATTAATAGGCCCTGCATAGTCTACTCCACTCTTTAAGAAAGGTCGACAAACAGTAGATCTTTCAACCGGTAGTTGTCCCATCAACTGGTGTCTTATACGAGCGGCATATCGTACACAACGGACGCATTTACGAACACACAGTCGTACTAAATCCTTCGCACCTATTATCCAGTATTTTGATTGCAAATATTTTTGCATCAATTGGGGACCGCCGTGAAATGTTCTCTCATGAGCATCCGCATTAATCAAAGTTGTAAACTGTGATTTGCGAGGAAGAATGATAGGATGTTTTCTCTCATCACTAAGGATTGCCTGCTGCAGTCTGCCACCTACTCGTAGGATACCGTCTTCGTCAACTGTTGGATTGAGTGAGGTAAGCTTACTTTTCTTATTTATTTATTTTTTATTTCTTAAATCTGCAAGCTTTTCACCGAAATGTTTTTCTTGGCATCTTTTAACACATATTTTTAAACTTTCTCTAATTTCAAAACTTGTTATCCAATCCTTCTGATCCTCTACTTCCCTTTTTCTCATTCTTTTAATTAGTCTTTTACAGAGTGCAGTAACGCGGAGCAGTCTTCTCAAAGATGAAAACCGTGAGTATATTTCTTCTTCGGGATCTGCTTCATCACTGTGAGTATTAATTAAACAAATTTTCATTTGTCTTTCTTCTAGATCTGTATCTTCTATTTGACCTCTTGCAAAATTTATATCCTTTTCTTGCAGCCACTTCGGCCCTTCCTTCCAGAGTTGAACATCCCATGCGTACTGCCGCTCGATGCACAATCTGCAGGATTATCCTTGGTAGATACGTGTTGCCATTGCTGCGGTTCCAGCGAAGTAATAATCTCCGACACACGGTTGGCGACAAAGGTTTTCCAACGACTAGGTTGTCCTTGAAGCCAAGCGAGCACAATTTGTGAGTCGGTCCACGCATGAATAGAACATTTCTCCATACCCATGGCTTGAGACACTTCAAGTAGCAGTCTTGTGAGTAGTACAGCTCCACAAAGCTCCAATCTCGGAATCGAAACTTGTTTAATGGGCGCTACCTTTGTTTTGGAAGCAATTAATGCAACATTAACTTCCGCATTGGAGTTAACCACTCGCAAGTACACAACTGCCGCAAATGCAACATTTGAAGCATCGCAGAAGCCATGCAATTCGCGAACTTTATCATCATTATTGATGTTGATCCAGCGTGGGATACTAAATTTGGTAAGTGAATCTAATTCACTTCTATACTTGAGCCAGTCCTTCAGTAATTGTGGAGGAAGTTCATCATCCCACTCAATTCCCGAGAGCCATAATTTCTGTATAAAGACTTTGGCTGTAATTATTACTGGCGCAAGCCAACCAACAGGATCAAATAATCGAGAAATTTCTGAAATAACCTTTCTTTTTGTTACAGGAGGAGAGAGCTGTGGAAGCTTTACTACGTATTCAAATTCATCGGTTCTTCTGTTCCAGGTAAGTCCTAAAATTTTCATGATTTCATCTATTTTTAGTTTCAGGTTTTCTGCTTGATCTTCAACATCTTCATTAATTTCTTTAAGTATTTCTTCGCTATTACTGCTCCATTTTTGCAAGACAAATCCACCTCCTTGTAGAAGTTGAGTTATTTCCTTATAAATTTGCTTACCTTCTTCCACAGAAAAGCAACCCGACATAAAATCGTCCATGTAAAATTCACGAAGTACCCTTTCAGCAGCCAGCGGATACTTCGTGCCATCGTCGTGTGCAACTTGCTGTAATGATTTCACAGCGAGATAAGGT